TGTGGTCACAATTGTGTTGACCCCAACCCGGCTTACGGCAGTCTCCCAAAGTATTTTCATTGCCTCGACACTCTACATCATACAGTAGAATAAGACCACTTCCTTTAACCTTAGCAGGTCCTGTCCATGATGCTTTGCTGTAGTTCAGCATACGACAGACCACGTGAGCATCTGCTAGGTCCCAACCATCATCACATATTGTGCCCCAGATTCCATAGTATCGAACCTCTACTCGGCCTTCGTTAGGGGCAGTACCATTTACCAGGCGAACGGCTACGTCAGCATCAACTGAATTTTCTAGTAAAAATGCGTTACAATAATAATCAACAACCGAATGATGGTTAATCGTGCATCTAACTAGCGTCTAGCTATGACATCCGAGATATAAAAGGTGCACCATTTGGCTGGCTATCTTGTTCTGTAAAAAGGCCTCTTTACCTTCACACCACTTTCCAATCAGGATCTTTTTTTCCGTTTAATGATTTTGCATGATAAGGCACATGAATTTCGCTGCCACTCAAGCTAAGGCTTTTTTCTATTGTAAAGCACTTGCTAAAAAAGCCATCGGCTGTTCTGTCATTGTTTTTTATTTACACTATAGTCTCCTACGCAGCTTCTCTTAGTGTCGTCACGCAACGCTCACTCCCCTAAGTGCGTAGGAGACAATTCGTACAAAGGATAAGCAGTAAGTATTTTTAGGAACTGAAAATTAAATCACTAATTACTGAAGTTATCAAAAATAATGAAAACACAAAACACTTGTTTTGGTTCTCTTACCTGATGATGATTTGCAAGAAATCCACGACTCCATGTTGGTATTGCATGAGTTTATTTTGTTGAGTACTGCCGTGCTGCATTTCTTGGTCGAATTCTCATTACCATTACAACTAAGAATTAACGAGAACTTAATTACACTGAAGCTCATTGGCATCTTAAAAACTCCAAGAGCCTGGCTATAGCCCATCATCCTGCAAACCACGTGAGCGTCTTCAAGATCGATGTTGTCCGCGCATAACGCTCCCCAGGTGCCATGGTAACGCACTTCTAGTCGTCCAAGTCGTCCAGCATAAGCAAATGCGTTATTCGCCCATCTGAAAGCCAGATTTGGTAACTTATCTAAAACATTAAGGGCAAAGAATCAGTACTGAGGGCACTCACATAAATATAGGATTTAGCCTGTTTAGCGGCCTTCGATAATCGTGGGGCTAGTACCCCTCTGAATCCAAACTCCACCATTGAGGGCCGCTACGCAGGCTACGTAGAATGTGATGTTATTTACCGTCCTAAAGTCGGTCCGGATAGGGAAAAACTATGCCCGAGGTCTTGAATATATGTACAGAGGCCAAGGCCCTTTACTTTTCGACTTGTTTAGCAATACGTTATTCTCATGCGCGCGAGCGGATGACGTCACGATACGGCACCGCGGGCAGACACTGAGAAAATATCCTCTGATTCAGCCAATCAGAACGCACGATTATTTAGGTTATTGAACCGGAAAAAATTAGAATAAATATCGTTACCTGAGTAACACACCATACCGATATCTTCTGAATGATCACAGTCTTCCAATCCCCATCCACCATGTCTACAACTGAGTACTGAGTTCTCATTCCCTGTGCATAATACATCTTCCAGCCATGTTTTCCCCGATCCTTCCCCTACATGCTTAGCTATTCCTTGTTGGTAACCAAGTTCTCTACAGACTACTTTGGTGTTGTTTATAATCCATCCATCGTCACATACTGTTCCCCACTCATTGTTGTGGTAGACTTGTAGGATCCCAAAATACAATGCGTTGGTTTTGACGCCATTTAGTAATCTGACGTTGGCTTCAACTGGAAATCAAAGAGAACCTCGACATAAAAAATGTAAATATTTGTTTGTCAGCAAACTATACGGGTTCGAAACCCGCCAGAACAAGGATCCTTTTACAAAAGTAGCTTGATGACAAAATAGTTTACAAATTCATAAATCGACTATTCTTCTAGGCCCGTTTGTACGAAGGGTGGATAGCGCTATCCAAAGGATAAATCGTGGTACAGTAAATACGTCGATGCTGCTATCCAATAAATTTATCCACTGGGTAGGATTTGTCCGTCGGATAGCGCTTTTCACCCTTCGTACTGAACTGGACCCTGGGGCTTTTAAATTTTCAAACTTTTGTTTCTCGTATGGGCGCCATTGGCAAGAAATCAACTCCTATCTGGGGTCGTAAACCTTATTAATCAATTAATAATTAATTTAGTTGATGGCATTTGCCTATCATCGTTTGTGTATAATATTTGGTAAATAGACAGGGTTGTTCAGTTTCGATATCATTCTTTTAGCAAGGAAGATTTGGTTGCATTGCAATGAATTGCTAAAACGAAATATTAAATTCGAATAAGTTAGAGTGTGCTTGTGACAAGTGTGCAAGCCACACAAAAGTCCGGAAACTACAAGGTGACGTAGCTCCAGTAGCCTTTCCATCGTGCTCAAAACCAAGTGATGTCCTTGATATTGCAAATGTCGAGCTTGCAGGCCAAAAGACCAGTAAAAATCTCACTGTCGCAGAGAAAAGGAACGGTAGGTTCTATATTTATACATTTGATAAGCAATGCAAAAGCCATCCTAAAAATGTTTTGTTTTGCTTGTTGGCTAACCACAGAGCAAAAGAAGAAACAGTTACAAAAGCACCGAGAGCTATACTCCAAGGTCAACCAGTATTCTCGAGATATTTCCAGTACTGCACCAGAGTTGTCTCTCTCAAGTGATGAAAACTGCAATCCAGTTGCGTCAGATGCAACCGATAGAAGCTGCACAATCTAAAGAAAGTGTACAAGTTATGCCAAATCAACCGGTGGGCACTAAAAGAACTGGATTTGGCCCTCAGATTGAGCAACTTAGCAACATCTTACCAGATGTACCGAGGTCGACCCTTGCAGCGTTGTTGACCCAAGAAGGCGACATTAATTCTGTGGTCAACCTAGTTTTCACGAATAAGGAAAATCAAGGGAATGACTGTGGCGATAACTGCGAAGCAAGGATCATCGTCGACGAAGTATGTTGGGCTGAGACAGAGAAAGCGCAATCCATAGCCGCGAAGACAACAATAACAGCTGTCACCTTGAAGGAAATTCTCAACAGCGCAGAGGAGAATGAACGCCAAGCCTCGGTGGGCCAAATACTGTCTTTCCATTGTCCGGAAARAAGTACGGTGTCCTTTTCCAGCATTAGTGAAAGCATGGAGGTAGAGAAGAATGGCGCATTTTGTCCTTCTTGTTTCAACCATCTCAAGCAATTCCATTTTCATTTCTGTCCTTATTGTGGGATGCTTTTAAAAAAGAATTATCGTCGCCTTTAATTAACAAGACACGATGAATGCTCCTAGTTTCAGTTGTAGATAGACTTCAGAATTGTCCAGATTCTCAAGGAAGTCTAAAACGAAGACTGTGGATCTCGAGGGAAAAAATGTTTGTGTATAATTTCTCATTCGACGTAAGTAGATGGACTCTTGACTAGACTTTGAGCAAAAAACTATTCTTCTGTAAAACGATTGCTTAATTTGTCTACATGCATGAATAAATTGTTATTACGGTYGTTACGCATCAMTWATTTCTTWTGTATTATTAGACTAGACTGTTTGAGTGCACTCTTACACATGGTACTAATTAGTACTATTTAATGTTCACGGTTTTAGTGCGTGCACTCTATTTTCATTACAGCTGTCTGTTTTAGCGGCATAAGGATCAGTTCGGCAAATAATATGCCACCATTGTTTTATATCTATTATTGTCTTTGTATGTAAGTTGCATGGAATAAAGAGAAAGTGTGAATATCGCCGTGAGAGGAACCAATGAATCAGGCACTCTGCACAGTGTAATTGATATGTAACTAAGAATCATTCATTTAATGCATTAAATCGATCTGTTTTCTTAGTTTTTTTCATACACATAATAGTTACCGGCGTTTCTGTGAGACTTGGAGAAATATACTCTTTTTAAATTGGAACAGGGTTTTGTTGAGCGCGATAATTATTATTAACGTAAGTCATGTTTAGTGTTTATATTTTTGGCTAATAGTGTCTCAAGCGTTTATTTGCATTAATACCTAACCTATCCTTTCTTGTTCTTTCTTTGATCCTCTCATCACCACAAACAGCTATTCACGTCCCACAGTGACGGAATTCGAAAAAGCAACAGCCATCCTCACCAAAATGGTGCAGAGCGAGACCTTCTCAACTCAAGGGCCTACAGGAACAGGTTGATAGCCAGCGTGACACCTCGAGGAGAAAGCGGAGCACACTTAAAAGGTCTCCACTATACGGTCTAGACCCTTTCGTAGATGAGAACGGCATCCTACGAGTTGAACTTCAAAGAGAAGCACCCTTCAGTACTGCCAAAGAACCATCACTTGTCGGAGTTATTAATCCGCCATTACCATCAAGCTGTCCACCATCAAGGAAGACAAATTACTCATGGTGCCGTACGCCAAGCGGGTTACTGGATAATATCGGGTCATGGAGCAGTGACAAAGGTCCTCAGCACTTGCATCACCTGCAAGAAGGCAAGAGGAAAGCCGATGACACAACTCATGGCAGACCTGCCGAAAGAGTGCACAGAACTAAGCCCACCCTTTACAAGTATCGGTACTGGCGTCTTCAGTCCATGGTATATCACAATTCGCAGATTATGAGGAGGTGCGGCAAACTCCAAACGTTGGGGCTTGCTGTTTACCTGTCTCAGTTCTCGAGCCATCCACATCGAGCTCCTTAAAACCATGGACGCCAGCTCCTTCATTTGTGCCCTTCGCAGATTCTTCGCAATCCGAGGACCCGCATCAAGAATCCGATGTGATCGTGGCACCAACTTCATTGGTGGGAAGTCGGATCAACGAAAGATTGAGCGCTATGCAACGGAGCACGGCTGCGAATGGGCATTCAATCCACCCCACGCCTCTCACTTTGGCGGAGTGTGGGAACGACAAATTCGCACCATACGTAGCGTACTCAACAGCATGCTGACCCAAATTGGAAGTTCTCAACTGACTCACGAGCTGCTATCTACTCTGATGGCTGAAGTCACCTCCATAGTAAACTCACGCCCAATAGCCACTGTTCCGTCTGAAGCAGATGACGCCCGACCTATATCACCTATATCACAGATGGAAAAGTTCTTCTCCGACCAGTCTCCCAGCTAGTGTTTCTCGTGTTATCCACCCACGACTAGGTAGTTGACCTGGTGGCTTTAAAGGAACATTACACGAACTCTAGTTACAGTTACATTTTTTTGTTTAGAATTGATTCTTCATAATGTATGATCTCTAGTTTCATATCCTATTAGCAAGGAGTTGTATCCTTGGGCGAGGAGTGTAATGTTTAGTGTTTATATTTTTAGGCTAATAGTGTCTCAATCGTTTATTTGCATTAATACCTAAACTATCCTTTCTTGTTCGTATTTCGTTTCCGGTGTAATATGATCCTTTAGCGTCCCCTGTCTTCACGTGTTTTTCTAGTAGTCTTAAGTCTTAACATTGTTCTGTATTCTGTGGAGTTTTTACGCCCGAAAGATGTAAGTTTTTACCTTATCCTGCCCAAGTGATTCCTATTCCTCATCTCATTATTGTAATCGTTTATTGTAGTTTTCACCGTGTATTGTCTAATAAAAACATTTCAAGACCATGCACTGGCTGAACACTAGCGTTTTCTTGCTGTGGAGTGCGACAGCCTAGGAACCGCGACAATAAGATGATATTTTTATATTTGATAATCCGTGGAACTATARTTTTATTGTTGCTTTTTTTATTCGTTTTTAATTGCTTTATCGTTCAAGTCTTTTCAAAAGCAAGCGCCTCCTATTTGTAAGGAATGCACATGTTTGGATGACGATGGGCAGGAATGGTCTTCCGTGGCGAAAAACCGTGGAGATGGAACCATAAACCTTGAGGAATCCTATTGAGTGTTCAACCTTCACCCTTATTCTTCTCAATTCTCTATTTGCCGCACTTTCTCTTCTGTTTCGAGCATCGCGGATTGGTTTTAGGATTGGTTCTCTTGGGGGTAAGCACCGTCTGCTGCCAGGCGATTACGGCGAGGGAGTCGTAGCACACCATTTGGCCCAACCGATGGGATGAGACGATAGGTCTGAGCGTCATTCAAATGCCCAGGAAATCTGATTGGATACAAAGAACTATTAGACACAAAAAATAATGACATGTAAAATGATCATGAAAGGCATCGATCTACACATAAAGCAGCGAAGCAGCATGAATACCGAAATGATCTACCATATCACTTCGAATGAACGGATTTGTTGACTTACCCACTCACTTTCAATACAATCATTCCATTTGCATCAATGATTACTTGCGAAGACATGAAATGTCGCTTTTTATCTCCTCGGTAACACTCTCGCTGTAACCCGCCGCTTGGTCTTTGTATTGGGTGAATTGTGCCATATATAATTCCTACGATATTTGGAAATTTTGGCCATGTATTTACAAAGTTTGTCGACCATCGAACCAAATTAGGCCAGGTGACCAAATGTCGATATTTTAAAAACAATATTGGCACGATATGGTAAACTTCTTCAAAAACAGTCGTCTTGCTAACACTAAAAAAAGCAGCCAGCTCCCTGTACTTGGGGTACGCTCTTAACCACATTAATACAAGCAGCAATCTATTTTTCACAGTCAATAAACATCGGCGCCTACGAGCTGTTAGTGGCTGGTGTGATACACATCTAGGAACACCCACTTCCACTGATACAAATTGAACCATTCGTTCAAAGCTTTCGACATTCTCTCCTGATGCATACCACAAAAGCTGGGTTTTGCTAATGGAATCGTAGATATCCCTGCCTTGGTTTCTAACAGGCATAAAACGAGGAAACATCTGTTGCAAAAGAGTTGGCCTTCCACTGAGCTGAAGCATTCCAATAACAGTCAAGAACTGTAATATCCACGCTGGAAAAGGTGGTGGGATTGGAACGATGTTTGCATTAGACAAAATCCGGCCTGTGATTTATAACAATAATCAAGAATTGCATAAGGAAAAAAGGGAATGGCGGTGGAGGAGTAATTGCAGCATTGCATTGCATCCAATAACTTGTGAGATCGTGTTTTTCTATTGTATGTTCCGCGTATTAGCAGCATTGCACGCACTTTGAATCTATAAATTTTTCTACACTGCAAGCACTTGTGAGATCGTGTTTTTTGCACTAATTTTGCACTCATAATACCGCTACAGCTATATAAAGCCCTTGTTTTTGAACTTGACACTTCAGTATTATCACAATGCAGCCGGAGAAATACCGCTACATCATGTTTTCCTGAGAGCGGCCCGCATGACAGGAGAAGTACACGTACCAAGTCCTGCTCCACGAGTTACCCCTACTGCCACTTCTAATTTTTTGGCCAGCTCACCAGCCACTGTGAAACAACGGCAAAAATTCAAAAGAGTAAGGTTTTCGGATGCTGAAGATTTACTAATAGAAAGAGCATTTCAAACGCACCAAAAGGATTACCGGGCCATAGTTATCTTCATAAAGAGACATTTAGAAATGCTCCCTGAAGACGCAAGAAAATACCACGAAGCAAGTAGCGAGTCCAAACAGAAGGAAAACTTGCAGAAGAAAGAGTCAGAAAAAGAATTAATTCGAAACTTTTGAAGATTGTAAGGTGAGCTTATTTCTTCTCAAATCTTTTTAAATTTGTTGTTACGATAACTGAAAAATCATGTTTTGGTTTTTGTTCACTTTTTTGTTCAAATTTGCGTTGAGTTTACCGAGCGAGTTCAGTACAAAAATCGATTCTAATCAACTTAAAACCCCTAAAACCGTGTTCTATACTATCTAAATATTCGGTGAGAAAAAACTTTTTATCTACTTTGGTGTGAGGTACTTATTTGAATTAAACATAAAAGAACCATCAAGGTTTCTTGCCTTTCTCACAGAATTAGATACGGTATTAGCATCCACTTTGTGCCCTGTCTGCTCTCCAAGATCGAAYATCTTGGTAAGATAGTCCTTTTGAGCTTTGCTCACGCGTTTCCTTTAGACAGTGGATGACTTCAATGCCCAGCCTTTTGATAGAGCATCGCCATATGCCAATGTGCGGGAAGTACTTGGTTCTTCAAGTGGCTGGTTCTCCAATGACGCATTTCCTTGGTCACGTTTTAAGGCGTATGACAGCATCGCCTTGTCTAGAAGTGTTTCGCGTTCCATTACATATTTATGCTTACCGACGTCAAGATGGCGTTGAAGAGATGAAAAACGCTGGAACGATTTAATGCAGCCGTCGTCGGGAGTTGAAAACAGCTTTGTCGTTTGCTCTTCATCTTCTGAGCTGGAGCTTTCAGCATCCGTATGCGTAGGCTGGGTCTCGATACTTTTAGATTTCGCTGCTGGTCTCGTTCTTGCAGTTACCTCTGTAAAAGTGGCTTTAGGGGGAGTAGCGTTTTTAATGACGTTTAGTTTTGGCAAAAGAATACTTTTTGGCAGGCTAAATGCACTCCATTTCAAGGTCTTACCCTCGCCAATGCCATACTCTCTGCATACTTTCATGCCATTCTTATTGTAGGAGATGTTGTTAATGAAGCTAACTCCATCCCATTTCAAAGGCACTAAATTTGGGACTGAAGGCGGGTCGCATAGCATAGCTCTTACTCCATTGACACCACTCAATGATTCGATGGCTATTTTCATCTGTTCTGCAGTTTCGACATCTTTTCCAGAGTTCAAGTATGCCTTGATGTGGTTCTTTATGGTGGCAGCTTTTCGATCACATGACCCTTTACCGCCCTGAGGGTCTGAAAAATCGACCCTTAATTTAACTTTGTGTTTTTTGGCTATTTCTTTCATGGACAGTAAGTTGAATGCGCTGTGGTAACAGCCAGCATTGTCCTGCCTTAGAAATACTTCCTCGAGCTCAGGCCTTTCAGTTTTCAGTTGTCCTACAACATCATCAATGATAGCCATTACTGAATAGCTGTCCTGGGTACAGCTTTTGAAAACATGGACGAATGTCAACATTTCCAACTGACCTTCTCTTTTTGTTGTAGCTACTGCAATGTGCCAAGAAATACCTTTCTTTTCATACCAATCAGATTGGCTTTCACGGTATTTCCTTGGGAGAAACTTCATAGCCCAGTCTAATACTACAAGTACTGAGGTTGGACCCAGACTCTGCAGAACGTTCAACCGGGCTTCATCTTGATTGATAGCACGCAGCAGGTGGGCTTTCCAGGCTTGGATATTTTTCTTCGATTGGATGATGACATACATCATCTCTTTCTTCTCTTCATTGTCAATGGCCAGATCCTCCAAAGCCGAATGAACTTCATCAAACACAGATGGAATCAGCTCAAACCGGTCACCTTTTAGGTCGTGCTGATGGTCACATTTAGTGGTGAAATCCGTATCACTTTCATGACTGCGAGCGTGCGCTCTACAGTGGTCGGGGACTCGTGAGCTTTTTGACACATGAACCTGCAAATATCAAAGATTTGATGTTATCGTTTTAACGTCAACCAAAATCCTGGACCCGCCTATGATTTACATACCTTGTAATCAATTTTCAAATAGCGCTTTGCAATTTTCAATTCATTGATTTGATTCTTTACCCAGGGATGACCTTTTCCGTATTCATCTCCAAGCTTTTGGACTACTTCCTCCATTTCCTCAAAGGCTTGAGCACCATCGGCAGAAAAATAGTCAAGTCCTTGTAGTGACTCCTTACGGAAGCACTACATACACTCAACACTCTACATAAACTGCTACGGCTCATTGGTTCAAAACTGGTTTCTTGACAATAGGTAGTGTATTGCTGCACCACCTGTTCAGGTATTAATGTCCTTACAA